TGACATCTTTATCCTTCTGTTTTACAGCCAGTTTCCTTTCTCCGGAAAAGGGCCGGAAAATGCTGCCCACCTCAGTGGGCAATCCAAGCAGCACCTCCTTGTTGGGGCCCAGTCTGCTGGATGGGAATTCACGGGATTCTTTTGTCTCTCGGTCCATGGCGGATGTTGCTGAGGTACGACATACCTTTTTTCTGGGCGAGATGCTATGGAGCTTTTGGCTGGGGTGATAGGAGAGAGAGAGAGAGAGAGAGAGAGTTCAGGATGCCGATGAAGGTGCTGACCTAAGGAGGAAGGAGACCATGAATTCCAGGTCTGGGTTTGGCAGAAAAGCTGGCTGGTTGATTTTGGGTCAATCTCTCAGAGCCCAGTCCCCTGAAGGGCGGTTGTTGTGGTGCAAAATAGGAGGTGGGGTATTAGGGAGGGATGGAAGAGGGGAGGAAGAAAGAGAGAGGGAAGGGAGGAAGAGGGGAGGAAGAAAGAGAGAGAGAAGGGAGGAAGGAAGAGGGGAGGAAGAAAGAAAGAGAGGGGAGGAAGGAAGGAAAATCTAGCAGGAAGGAAGGAAGCCACTGTGGCGCAGTGGTTAAAATGCAGTACTGCAGGCTACTTCTGCTGACTACTGGCTGCCTGAAATTTGGCAGTTCAAATCCCACCAGACTCAAGGTGGACTCAGCCTTCCATCTTTCCGAGGTGGGTAAAATGAGGAGCCAGATTGTTGGGGGCAAGAGGCTGACTCTATAAAACCGCTCTAGAGGAGGGCTGTAAAGCACTGTGAAGCGGTATATAAACCTAAGTGCTACTGCCATTGCTAAGGGGTGTGAAGCAAACAAGGAAGGAAGGGAAGGAATCCAACAGAAGGGAGGAAGAGGGTGGAGCAAACAAGGAAGAAAGGAATCTTATCAGGAAGGAGAGAGGCAGGAAGGAAGGAGTGTGGAGCAAACAAAGGAAGGAATTTAGCAGGAAGGAAGGAGACATAGACGAGACACACAAAGCCCACACATGTGATGTTCTGCATCTCTACTCCCACCCCCAGCAATCCTTCTCCCGCCACCATTCCCAAATGTTGTGCAGCTATTGGCTAGTCAATCTCAGAGCTCACACTCATGATGAGTGGTGTGCCTTTGAGCATATTCTTAGAATCTTAGAGTAGAGCTGGAAGGGACCCTGGAGGTCTTCTACTCCAGACCCCTGATCAAGCAGGAGAACTTATACCACTTAAGACAAATGGCTGTCCAGTCTCTTCCTAAAAACTCCTGTGATGGAGCACCCACAACTTCTAGAGGCAAGCTTGTTTCACTGGTTAATTGTCCTCACGGTTAGGAAGTGTCTCCATAAGTTCAGGTTGGCTTCTCTCCTTGATCAGTTTCCAACCATGATATTCTAAACCTCAGCTAAGGTCGAAAGAAAGCTGGAAGGCCGAGAATCCAACCGCCTCTTTTCTTCCCCCTTCTTCTGTTCCTTCGCAGGTGGTCGATTCCCAGCTGGCCTGCATGATGAACGAGAACAGCATTGATTACATCTCTCGGTTCAATGACCTTGCCCAGGAGCTCTCCATCCCTGAGCCGACCCGCCGAGAGATTCTCTTTGACGGAGGGAGTGGCGGTCCCCCCATCGGCGACCTTTCTCAGTGAATGCCTCCCACCAGCGGGCTGGTGGGCGCCGTTGAATTGGTCATAACGTGGAGGAATGACGTCATAGCTATGCAGCGGATTGGGTTTTTAATTTTTTGGTTTTTTTTAAAAAAATCATTGTCCTGGCGGGAGCATGCCTGAGAAGAAGAGAGAGAGGTTTTCTCTTCGACCTTCTACGGTTCCTGGAAAGTGCAATAGGCTGGGAACAAGACAGTGTGGAGCAGTATTATAGGAAGTGACGTGTGTAAGCTGGTGACCAGCAACGTTTACAAAGGCAGCTCCGGGTTTTAAGGTCTGAGCAAGAAACCCCACAAACGACATCCTTAGATGTCGTCGGGGTATCCACACATAAGCTGAAAGTTGGGGGTAAATAGTGGTCTGTTTTTATTAAGTTTTCCTCTTTTTTTTTTTTAAGAACTTCCTCTCCAGATCTGTTACGCTTGTCTTGTTGGCAAGTCATTTGAGCTGGTATTCCTGGCACTTTCTTGCCCCAATAGCAGCTGAATTCCACGAGGCTTTTAACAGAATTCTTTCATCCTTTCTCTATAGTCATTAACATTCCAGCAGGAAAAATGCAATGCCTGTTCCTGTTCCATCTTTAAAAATTAGGATAATGTCAGTGGAAATCTTGGAAGGACACAAAACCTATCTTGCTTCTTTTTAACATCCTTCCCCATGGTTAAAAAGAAGACAGCTATCCCTTAAGGGCTTCCATTTTTCCTAGCATGCTGGCTGGGGGAATTCTGGGAGTTAAAGTCCATACATCTTCAACCAGGGGTCGGCAACCTTGAACACTCAAAAGAGCCACAAAGATCCTAACCGGAAGCGGGCACCCTCTCCCCCATTCAATTCTGGAGCCGACCGGAAGTCCGGTTTCCCCACCATAGAGTCTCCCCCTAGCATGGCATCCTTTTTCCTTTGCCGACAGGAAGTCTGGTTCCCCCACCATAGAGTCTCCTCCTAGCACGGAGTCCTTTTTCCTCTACCTGTCCTAACTGAAAGCCCTATCAATTGTGGAGCTGACTGGAAAACCCGCCCCTTGCCATAGAGTCTCCTCCTGGGATGCCCTGCTCCGTCTTTCCTCCCCCGCAAACCTCAAAATGGTGGTTCCGACTGGCAACAGGGAGCCACAGCAGAGGGATGAAAGAGCCACATGCAGCTCCAGAGCCGTGGGTTGCTGATCCCTGTCTTAAACAGAAGACTTCTCGGGGGTCTTCTAGATATGTTCAAAGTCAAATTCCTTTGAGATGAGCACAATCATTGCTGAAGGCCATGGAAATGTCCTTGTAATCTCTTTGGCAACAGTACAAGAGGTTTCCCTTGTCTTTTTAGGGGGAAGAGTTTCTGATTTCCCAGGCTAGCTTGCGGCTCAGGGAGGTTCTTGGTAGTTATTAGACAAGAGACTTCTTGGCAAAATCAGGGCTGTAGACGAGACCAGGAGGTCCGCACACTTCCCAAAAAGGATCATGATAACGCGCCTCCATTTTGTTGCCTCCCCCCAAAATCATGTTTATATCTCTTTAGATACCAAGAATCAAGCTTGACACTTCTATCTTTCCTTTTTTTAAAGAGCCCCTTTGATTCTTGGCTGTTAGCGTTTTGGAGAACAAATCTCACACACACATTTCCAGTTGCAGTTGTGGAATGTTTCGATGACGTCCTGCCAGATGAAAGAAATGAGTAAAATTCTCTACTTCTTGTAGGTCCCTAAGGCAAATAGCAGAATTGCACAGGATTCTCTCCCATTTATGGTCATAAAATGCCCTTCCTGAGATCTGCAGGTGTTGGCTTCTTAGCCTTCAGAGCTTGAATAGCAGATAGCCATTGCTTAATTTTACTTTTGTGGCCGCCAAGGACCATCTTGTCCCACTTCTTTACTGATTATTCCGGGCGATACAGTCTCCTTAGTTGTTCATCTCCCACAAGCGAGCATTTCTAAACATCAGTCCCTTAGGAAATGCTATTTACCTGCAAGCAGTCGCTTTTCACAAGCCTGTCCTGGGGATGTCTCCTTTTTCTTCAGACGTTCGACGTGACTTCGACCTGATCCACAGGGTCTCCGTTGCTTTTGCCCAAATAGATGTTAAAGGGACCAAAAATTGGTGCTGATCAGGAGAGGCGCCTCTGTCCCTGAGATTTTTATCCCTAATCCTCTTTTAGGGTCACTCCCAAGTTTCTTCCCTTTGCCACAGAACTGGATGGCCTCTCCTAGCTTTTGTGTATTTGCAACTGAGTCCACTCGGCCATCATTAAATGAAGATGCTCGCCAGATTCTGCAGAAGCCGAAGAGAAAGTTGCTGATATCATGTGTACCTCTGATTTTGCTTGATATCACTGCTCCTCCAAAAGTAGCCCTTTTGAATAATTTCACCCTTTTGTTGTTGTTAGTCGCGAAGTCGTGTCTGACCCATTGGGACCCCATGGACAACGTTCCTTCAAGCCTTCCTGTCTTCTACCGTCCTCTGGAGTCCATTTAAGGTCACGCCAACAGCTTCAGTGACTCCACTTCATTCTCTGCCGTCTCCTTCTTTTGCCCTCAATCTTTCCCAGCATTTGGCCTCTTCTCCAGGGAGTCCTTCTTCCTTCTCATTAGGTGGCCAAAGTCTTTGAGTTTCCTCTTCAGAATCTGGCCTTCTAAAGAGCAGCCAGGGTGGATCTTCTCTAGGACTGATTGGTTGGATAGCTTTGCAGTCCAAGGGACTCGCAGGAGTCTTCTCCAGCACCAGAGTTCAAAGGCCTCCATTCTTTGGCGCTCAGTCTTCCTTATGGTCCAACCTTCGCAGCCATCCATTGCAACTGGGGAAACCACAGCCTTGACTATGAATCCATCTGCCCTTCATTAAATGAAGATGTTCTCCCGATTCTGCAGAAGTTGAATAGAAAATTGCTGAGATCATGTATACCTCTGACTTAATCATCTGATATCACTGCTCCTTCAAAAGTAGTAGCCCTTTTGAGAATTGTCACCATAAGTGATAGCTTAAATGTACTTTTTAATTTCAGGCCAAAACATCCTATGCAGTTCTGATATCAAGGAACTTAATAGCCGTCCACAGAGTACTGGCAGTCCTAGAGATTCCCTCCTTTTAGCCTCATGATATCTGGACACCTCCAGGCAGCATCTGTGATTTGGGAAGCGTTTTAGCTATTTAGCCTAGATCCCACACTGCCAGAATCCTCTTATTGCACCCAGGTGCGGTTTCTGCCAAACTCTTGTCCGATATACTCTATTTTTATCCTCTGTATCCTTCAGCGCTTTGCAGTTCTGTGTCCCGTAGAAAAAAAAAACGTTTTATTCAGCACGTTTTGTTCCAATAAAGCAACCTAGGCTGAATCTTCCGCTGATCATCATGCAGCTTCTGCTGTGCTTTAAAGCTTGTATGCGGATTTTTCCTTAGCAATTCTTTCCTCTTAACTATTGGGCTATTTGACATGGATTATTTTAAACTCTATCTTACGGAGCCCTTGGTTTTATGTCTGTCTGGATTGTTCACCTGCCTTGCAGGTATGGTGATGAGCATTCCTTCTGCCACCTGTTTTCTCCATCCATGAAAACACAGGATGTTGTAAGAACTGCTGGCTAGACGTCAGCTCAGTAACCAGGAGTAAGTCAACATTCACAAAAAGCAACTCCTTCCCCCATGCTTGACAGTTTTAAGGCAGTATCTACATATCAGCTTTAGTACTTCTGAAGTCCTCTCCCTACAACTCTGAACTTCCCTTCAAAAACCTTGTCTCCTTTCTTGTTTCTTTAGGGGTTTTGTCCACATTTTTTTTTAAAATCCTTTTGTGGCCTTTTATGTCTTGCATGTTGAAATCTGACGTCAAGAGCGAGGACAGCTCTGCTTTTAGGACTAAAAGCGAAAGGAAAAATGCCAGTGATGATCTCTCCATCCGTTTTAGTACAGTGCTTATTTATATAAGTGAGGGCTGCTGGCCTTATGGCTTCTGTCAAAGAGATGGAGAAGTGCAGGAGACAGTTCTGAGCTATTCCTTTGGCCTTTTTAGATCCAGAAGAATATCAAATCCATTACGAAGAACTTCTGTGCAGCTTCTTGGGAATTTGCAGGCATGGCTGCTTCTTATTGGAGTCGTCTTGCCTTTATTTATTTATTTTTTGGCTTGAGGGATTAAAAGGAAAAAAACTCTTGTGGATCGCCTGGTTTTCATTTGTGCGTTTGGTTCCCGAAAAGCTTTTGGTGTCAAATTTTCCTTTTTTTAAAATTTGCAATCAGATGGGATGGTATTTACAAACGAGAATGTATCCAGTGGAGATAAGCTTTTCTCATAGGCCAACCAGACAAGGCACTAGGAATCGGAAACGTTTGCTCCTATGTAAAGTTTTAAGAAACGTGGGTTAGGCATTGCATCTGCCCCCCCCCTTTCTTTTTTTTTGAGTGCCTGGATTGGACAGTAGTTGATGGTTTTGCTTGTGGATTGCATTGAAATTGGCCAATCATTCAAGCGTTGACTTTATTTTACTTTTGATCATCTGGGATAGGCAGCTTACGGGGAGTTTCCTCTACACAGCGTTTGTCGGAATGTAATTCCCTACGAACCGCGTCCTAATTATCATACTTTTTTTCCTTCTTTACACAAAGTTGTTCTAGACCGGCATTTTGTAACCCTCTCTTTGATTGTTAACTTTATGCTTTCTTAGCCAGCTTGATTTCAATTATACCCATAAAGATGGCTTGTCTGTGACTTGGCTAGTGGTGGGTTGTTGTTTTTTTTTTGTTTTTTTTTAGCATTGCATTTGGGGTTTGGGGTTGTTTTTAAATACACATATATAAGCCCTCAGTACACCTACGCTTACACAGAGAAGACAGCTGAATTTTTAAGGAAGAAACGGCACTTTTTTTTTAAGTTAACCCAGCCCTTTTTAAAGCTTTCCTTGTGGACCTGTAAATGCTAAATAATGAAAATATTTGCAAGCACTACAGCAATGAGTTATCACTAGTTGCCAAAATGTGACAACTGGCTTTTGAACTTGTGCATTTGGCAGTGGATGATGTTGCTGTTTCTTTTAACAATAGTTAAGCCATATCATCATTTTTTTTTAAAAAAAAGTCTTTTGTCTCGTTTTAAAATGTGAATTTGTTTTTCAGATAATATGCATATATATATATATATAT